AATGCTAAATCCATTGAATAATCACATGATATTTAATTTATTCAAAGAAATAAATTTAATATTATAACTCATAATTCTGTTTTAATAGTGTTTAGAAAATAATATGAAATTGAATTGATTGAATTTTAAAATTACAATAATATATTTAAAATTTTAAATATTACTAGTCATTTTCATTGTAATTTCTAATATGTAAATTTTAGGAAATTATTTCTTTCTTATTGAAAGTTACTATGTATACCAAAAAATCTCTATTATTTTGTTTTCATTTATACTATTTCACTAAAAAATTTTGACCACATGTAATATATTTATTTACGTAATTAGACATTTTTTTAATCAGATTTATTTTTTATTCATCCTGAAATGACAAATATAATTTTGCCCCTATGAAAAAATTTTGGCTCCATCATTGCTTCACACCCTTATTTCCTTGCTAGTATAGTTCTTCTTTTATATAAATTGTTTCTCAAATTTTATATGAGCTTCTTTGTCTTGAAACTTGATTTTCCAAATCAAAACCCAAAATTCATTATTATTTATTGAAATGTTATTTACCTAGAAAAAGAAATTTACAAATCTTATCAAGTACAACTATGGCAGCAAAGCTAAACATATAATTGATGATCTTGTGATGAGAAGGGAGGCGAAAGCAACATTGAAGAGAGAGAGAGGACATAACGGTGAAGAGAAAGACAATGGAGTTTGCGTTAAAACTCATATTGAATCAACTAAAATTAAACTGCTTCAGTCAGATTTTATCCTAAACCATATGATTCCATTTTTCATCCTAAAAAATCTCAAATCATGAAACATATATAGTTGACGTTGATTGAATTTGGTTTTTGAACCGAACCAATCAAATGCAACCACCATCTTAGTCAGCCACCAACTAATACAAGTAGAATAATTTTGTCCTTTGATCCATAAAGGGATGTGAAATCCTTTTGTTGAACCATCTTTTTCCTTTTGCAAGTTTCACAAATTAGGCACTAAAATAATAGAGAGAATAAACTTTGTTATAGGACAAGTACATAGCTCAAATATATGAATATTTATTGTTATTGAATTGTAAAGGAAGGGAAAGAGAAGACATGCAAGAACAACCGTGGGTTGAGCATGTTTGGCAGACAGGAGCACGTTAGGCCTTTGTGGAATACCACTCCATTAGCCCTCCAAAATTATAAATCTTGCCTAATATTCATGGATTTGCATGCGTTGGCGAAACTAGGACCCTAACATGAGGGAGAGCATTTATATATATAGTTTTGCATGCGTTGGCGAACTAGGACCCTAACATGAGGGAGAAGCATTTTATATTAGTATCCGTAGTATATTGAGTACTATGGTAATTTAGTATAAGAAATTGTATAATAAATGAATGTATTTAATAGAAATCCACAAACTTGCCGATTCATAATAAAAAAATAATGTATAGTGAATATATATTAGTATAAGAAATTTAAAAATAAATTGAATTATTTAATAGAAATCCACAACTTCCATTCATAATAAAAAAATAATTATATGAATTTTTTTTAAAAAAAATCACATATTTCCTCTACGTAATTTTATATTTTGAATCCGCTAAATAATTAGCTCATTGTTAATGCTATTAAATATATCTGTTTCTCTATAAGTGATTAAAAAATTATTCATCCAAGTATCTTATATTTGATCACACAATCGATTATTCACAATCTTTGTTGCACAAAATGCTCTCTCTACCATTGATGTGACAACAAATAAAATTAATCTAACTTAATAAGTGAATACACTAATGGATAAATAACATGCTTCCCGGTCGACTAACTCTTGTCTTTAGGAAACATCAAGTCAATTTTGTATGTGTTGAAAAAGGCACTCAAACTACTTTAATAGGGTTCACATATTATAAATATGACAATTTAAAAGGTTCATTTTATAAATATATTTATAGTTACTTAGAAAAATTTTCAAATCAAGGGTACCAGTCGAGAGGGATAGAAAAATTATTATTGTTATTATTATTTAGTTTTCTATTTATTTAATTTTTTTATTCATTAGAAGGTTCAATCGGTCAAAATAACATAATGAATTCCATAATAAAAATAATTATTTTATTCATTAATTAAATTAATATAAATTTTTATAGTCGACAACTTTCAACTTATGATCCCCACTCATCCTGTCAATAAGAAGCTCAATTAGATCATTAAAAAAATGATAATAAGATCTAGAACTGATCGTTATCACAACGGTGTAAGGGTGAAAAGTGTGATGTAAGCATAATTATTAGTGTTTGGCTGCACTTTTGATTTTAAAAAAAAATAGATGGAATTTAATTTTTTAAGTTAAACACAATGACAAGTATTTATGTTTTCTATTACTATGAGTTACGTGAGGTTTGAGCTAATAAACTAATCATTCTCTATTGTTTTTTAAAATATATGAGTCTTAATTCTCTCAATCTTCATATTCTCAAAGACCCTGAAAGTTAAAAACAAGTAAAATTAATTAATTAAAACTTTCACTTGATACAATAATTTAAATAGTTCCATAACTTTTAAATTTAGCGCTTCTATCGAGCTTAATATATTGTTTCACTTTCAACTTTAAATTTTATTATAATTTCACTCTAATTTGACCTTTATATCAATTTCAATCGGAACTTTGATATTTTATTGTAATAGCACCCTAAATTATAATTAGGAGTTTAATTGTAAATAAAAAATAGGTTCACTCTTGTCCTTAAGCTTAAATTAACTTATGTGGACGAGGGAGTTTGGGTTAATAGTAAGAACAATCTCTATTATTATTTTTAATATTTTTAAATTCTTTCTTTTATTGATAATAAGTGATATTTAAAAATTAATTATTTGATACATTTTTAAAAAAAATTAGAATATAAATTATTATTTATGGTTTGATTTTATGTAAACTTTGTTAAAAACATTAAAAATCTAAAACAACAGATCCTATCAATTATCTTCCACTCATAGACTAGTCTGTTAGAAATTATAACATTTTTTTTATCAAAAAAAAGAATATAAGATATAAATATATTCATTTAAAAAAAATAAGATATAATTATATTCTATTTAAAAAAAAATTCATGTATCAAAAAATTAATTTTTAAATATTATTTATTAGCAATTAAAGAAATAATTTAAAAATATTAAAAATTATAATAGAGATTGTCCTCACTATTAACCTAAATTCCTTTATTCATACAAATATATTAAGTTAATTTAAAACCAAGGTTAAGAGTAAATCTATTTTTTATTTACAATTTAAGTTCCAATTATAATTTATGAGTTTATTATCATGGCTTATGAATCCTAACCCATTTTTCTCATCAGGTAGTGATTATTTAATGTTTGTAATTGAAAAATTATCTACCTAGCCTAAGAGATTTTCTATTTATGAGATATATGCATGTGTTAATATTTTGAGCCTGATAATAACGTATTCCTTAAACAGTAATGCCTCCGGGATGCCCCTAATAACCAACGAAAGACAAGTGCTTTTAGGGAAGGAGGAAGTAAGCTAGATTGCACAGACTGATTGGTAAGACGCAATGACACTTGCATAGATGGGCCTCAACTCTTTTTTACCTTTGGGCCAAATGTTAGAATAAAAGGATATTGTAAAGTTTTTGAAACTTAATTTAAAAACAAATGTGAGTTTGATTTTGAGATTAAAATTATTATCATTTAAGATATATATTTTTATTATTATGCTCTTTTTTATTGGTATGACCTTAGTTTGTTAATATTTTATTATTTTAATATGTTAGTATTTCTTTTTTGCATTAATTTCTTGTTTTCACCGTTGTTTTCTTTTTTTGTATTTTAATAGTTTTCTGCTGCCGTTTTTTTTTTCAACCCTCATTATTTTCTTATCATTCTTTCTCCCTTAGATGTCGTCAATTATTGTTTTATCATTCTTTCTCTTTTTACTGTCGTTCTTCTCATTATTAGAGTTGTTCCACTGTTTCGTTTTTTATTTATAAAGTATGTGAATTTCTATTTTTGGTCAGTTGTTTATTTTTGAAAATATCTTTATCAATTATTTATATAATCAGTAAATACTGCAGGGACAAGGTAGAACTCTTGATTCTGTATGGATTGATACAGACACAGTATAATTACTTGGTTTGTTCCAATATGTTAATTGGTGTACATATATCTATTATGTATTTAATTGATTTTACAATATTTAATATACAGTAAATACACACAATTTTTTCTTGGTTTGATCCAATGTACTAATTAGTATATACATATTTATTTTGTATTTAATTGATTTTACAGTATTTACTAATACACAATATATATTATACATTTTCAAACTAAACCATTTGTCCATCTGATCTAATTGATTTTACAGTATTTACTAATACACAATATATATTATACATTTTCAAACTAAACCATTTGTCCATCTGATCTAAACCAAACCAGTATTACTTTTCATATAATAGAAGTAATTTTTTATTACTATAGTTTAGAATATAAGATTTTTTTTTTCAATTTTTGTATCTTTTTCGCTAAGTGTCTTATAAAATGACGAAAATACCTATTTTTTCACTTTTGTTATATTTTTAAAAATACAATGAACGGACAAATTGTATTTTTCAAACATTAGGGACCGTACTATAATTCTTCTACTGGCCACTTTGTTATATTTATATAGAGAAAATTTCCTTTAATGCAAAACAAAATGTCAATATGACATTGTTTTAGTTTTTAGTTTAAACATTAACTTTTGAAGAATTTTATGAAAGTGATAAACATTATTGTGGTTGGGCAATTAATATTTCAAAACAAACTGAACCATGCACTAAGAAAATGAGAACTTCTTCACATTATGTGATATATTAAATTTTTGAGTTAGAAGTATAGTCTGAATTATATACATAATATTGGGCTATATTTAATAATTAAATGTGGACGTATAGTGAGATTTACACACAACTGTAATGAATCCAGAAGGAAAAAAAATTTCCTTCCAAACAATAGTGCTTAAATTAAAATTGTTGTGCCCATTTATATTTTCTTATAGTTGTGTCTCACAATTCGATTCCCATAACAACTTCACCTTATAGAAAATTAAAAATATTGCAAATACATAAAATAGTTAGTCCATGCTTATGATAAAATATTGAGATAATTATATTTTTAGTATCTCAACTTATAATTTTTTCTATTTTGGTACTTGAACGGATGGCTAACCGGAAAGGTGATTTTGCAATTATGGAACTCGATTGTATAACACGTGGCAGCTGACGTGGAGAAAAAGAGCTCCAAAATTGTAAATTCAACTGCATGAGTGGATTCCACGTAAGACATAGACATAGAATTTCTATTTTGAACTTAAGAACACCCAAATTTCACATCTTCTTTCCCTTCACATCTCCTTGTTCTTCAATCTTGTGTTGCTTTCCACTCCGCTGTTGGAAATTACCGGCAAACCTCTACCCTTGCAATCTTAGTTGATCAAGATCATGAACCTCTGCAAGCTGCTATGATCTTATACCTAGAAAAAATTTGAAGGCCCCAACCTCAAACCCTTTCTAAAACCATCGAGGCCATTGCAAAAGAAAAAGCAAAAATAACAAAGGAAATCGCAAAGTAAAGCAAATAAGGGCCTCTAAATGGAAACCAAAAATATAAACTCTTGTAATTACTTCTATATTCTTGCGTCTAGAAGAACAAACCAGGTAATTGTTGTTATTCGATTCTCGCCATTACTGCCACCATTAGCGGTGATGTGGAGGCGGCGGTACGGACTTCATCAATTTTAGGAGGAATTGGATTTTGGCACTTTTTCAGGTGACTTTTGGTTGCTAGATTGCCTGTTGTTGATAAAGTGGCTGATTATGGTGACCTTGTGGTGGTTGTTGGCTCTACATTGAATTACTATGCTTGTACCCATAAGGTTCAAAGGAATAAGGAATTAGATGATAAATGATTGAAACTTTGAACGAAAAGAAACCAGATTCTGGTTTGGCAGGAGAAACCCAGATCTCCTTTCTACTGTTAAAACGCTTCTCTCTTTCCCCTGAGAGTGTCAATGAGTCTAAGAATACAAATTAAAGCGCAAAGAAGTGCAGCTCATATGACCACCAAGTCTAAGCCCAAAGTTGCTAGTGGCTCTAACGAGTCCCTATTGGCAGTTATGTTGGTCGCCGATGAATTTCCAGCGCCAAGGAACCTGAATGAAGCAAGTCATGTGAAGAGAGAGGATATGAGATTCGGATGTTCTTAAGGAAAAAATAAGAAATCTATGTCTATGTCTACCTGGAATCCACTCATGCAATTAAGTTGGCATTTTAGAGCTCTTTTTCTTCCAGCCCTCGGATCGCTAGCGTTTTCTGTTTAAATATCGAAATAGAAAAAAAATAAAAAGTTGAGACAATAAAAATATAATTATCCCTTAAAAATATGTGGATATTTTTACCAGATAATGCACATACATTAAAAATGTGTGCAATATAAATTAAGAATTAGTAAACATATTGAACAATGGAGCTCACGTCTCATTTTTTGTTAGAAGTCCAAACATATAAAACTCTTTATGCAAGTAACTTATCATCTCTTTTATCATTTATCGCCCTTTTATTGAAATTTGGGACCACCTAATTGTCTTTTCAGGGGTAAATTAGAAAAAAAAATCCACAAAAATCTACCCCTTAATCCTAAAGAAATTTTGAGTTTGTGAATAAATAGAATGGAGGGAGTATAAAATTTTGATATCTTTCATTTGACTTTGTATTTCCTTATTGACTCTACGGAAAAGATATAAAAATTGAACAAAAGGTATATAAGCAAAGATAAATTGATATATTTGTAAAAGCACAAGAGTAGACCAGTTATATTTCATAAATAACAGGACCGTACTATGATTTTCCTTTTATTTAATAACTCCTATAAATTCTTTCATAAAAAAAAGAAAAAGAAAAAGAAAAAAACAAAAGAACTCTGCTCAAATTAACTCGCATTTTCCACCTTCCCAAACTGCATAAAAGTTACCTGTGAGTACCAAATAAATCTCCGAGTATCATTTATTTATTTTTAGTGTTTCTCTTGTACTTATTTTCTATAGATGTTGTTGGGGACATGATAAATTTAGTGTCTCGATTCGCAAAACTTTTCTATTTTGGCGTTGAATAAAAAACTTTATTAATTGAGTGTTTAAATTTTTTTTTTTAAAAATAGCAATTAAATGTCTAATGCTTACGTGTCTCACCGAAAAAATACTGTGCATATTGAAACCTATTTTTTCACTCAGCTGAGTGTAGCATAAGTGGGCTCCACATTAGCATGACATATGACCCTACATGGATATAGCATTGAATTTCCATTTTTATCCTTTTCAAAACCAATTCATATCTCCATCTTCTTCGATGCTATCTCCATCTATCGATCTATAAGACTGGAACATTGGTTTTTGTTCCATTGACTTTTACTTTTCAAAAAAATTTTACAGCCCCTTATATTTTTGCGTGAATTCTATATCGTATCTCTATTTTTTTTTCGTATTTAATGAATATTTATCTTGAGTAAATATAGTGCATGCAACTCAAAAAATATAATGATATGTCAAAAAAAAAAAAAACATGTTATACGAAACATCAGATTAAATAGTCTAAAATATACATTTGGTCAAAAATATTCCTATGGACATTGTTCCTCCCTCTTTCTCTCTCTATCAATCAATACTCGAGAAGTAAGAAACTGATACTTTCATACTCCTCCTCTACCATCGCCGTTGCCACTGCTGACGCCCTCATCTCCTCCTCCCTCTACAGCCGCCGCTGCCATCATCTACTTCTCCCGCCTCTTTCGCCTTCCTCTTCGGCTTCTAAAACCCATCAAATTGGAAAAAAGAAAAATAAATCTTCTTTTGCTTTCTAAAAACATTTTAATTTACTTCAATCACCTCTAGAGCAAAAAATCAAAGAAGAGCAAAACTTGATCTACTAGAAAAAAAAGCTAAATCAGAAAATTAAGAATATAAGTTGTTGTTATTCAAGATTAGAAAAGAAGAAATGGTTTCAAGGTGCAAAGCAAGAAAAAGGTAAACATGTTTTACCATCACCACCACTTTTACCTCCCACACCTCCATCACCTCCTCCACCAATGAGTCCTAGATCTGACATATGGACATCGATAATAGATTCCCCACTACCTCTCCTCCTCCGCCACTGCCTCCACCTCCACCACTTTAGTCATCAAGCTGGGAGTTTTAGGATTCTTTTCTTCCACCACTTCTTTAACATTATGGTCGGTTATTGAGGGGGAATGGGAAGAGGTGACAATATGACAATTAAACAAATTTTCAGTCTTTTCACACTACGCATGGATACTCACGTATTACTTCCAGGGTTGCGAGGTATCTGTTAAATATGAAAAAAAAAAAGAAGGTATCTTATAGGACGCTGCAAAGTATAAGAAAACACAATGTTTTTTTTTTTTTAAAGTACAATGTCCAAAATATGCTTTGGCCATTAATTAATCCAATGAAATATGTGTTAGTAATAAGCTCTGATACCACTTGTTAGGATACCGGCAATAAAAATACGAGAATAAATACGGCAGCGGAAAAATAGAAATGGGACACAGAAATTTAATTAGCTCTGATACAGCTTGTTAGGATTGACCGGCAATAAAAATACGAGAATAAATACAAAAGGCAGCGGAAAATAGAAATGGACACAGGAAATACTGTGGTTCACCCTTTCAACTGTTTAAGCGCTACGTCCACGGAACCAACTCCGAATAATTCTTGTTCTACTATTACAATAAATAAAGGCTTACAATGAGATAATACAAAAATAGTGGCACTCACAAGTGTTTCCCAAAAACACCCTAATAATCTCAAACTATTATTCTAAAAACCCTTAGTTTTAAGCAAAACCATTTCTTGAAACTCAAAAAAAACTCTCTATTTTTCCTCTTCACATGTCTCGTTGCTTTTGTGTTGTTGTTGGTACCTATGCGATATGCTCCTGCCTCTAATTAAGGCAAAGATTTGAGAGAGCCTGCATTGCCTTCATGCACGCTCTTACATTATTTTCAATGGCATGCCAACCACTTCAATGGTTGGTTGCCAACCTTTGATTTTTTTTTTTCATTAAAATTGTGGTGGGTCCCACTTGAGTGCGCGCACACCACCACCAACAAATCTCCCCCTGGCACGCTTCCAAGTGGGACGTCTAAGCCATACTCCTCCATCATTCCCTGCAGCTAATCGGCAATATTCAAAACTTGGTCTTTTTGGAAAGAATCTTCGTTAAAATATCTGATCCATTTTCATCTGTATGGATCTTTTCAAGCGCTGTAACTTGGCTTCCAATCTCCAATAACATCCCTATCCAATGATATCTTAACAATCAATGTGACTTTGATCTTGAATGAAAAGGAGGAGGGAATTGCTGCCCAAGGTGAATGCCAGCTCTGACTTCGCAAAAAAATATCCAATATCTCTTGATGAAATTCCGTAGTTCATTCAAGAACTTCTTCTAGTCCACAGCCAACTGCTTTGGCATGCTTCTGTTTAGTGCTATGAATTCTGTGCTCAGTGTTATTAGAGCAACGCACTCTGTAATCTTTGCTGCCGATGAGCAACAGTTCCCGCTGTCCAAATTGATTAGGATAACCCTGATGTGGACTTCTCGATCAAACACCCAGCCATATCTGCCATCGGTATACCGCACTAATACTGGCTTTTCATCTCTAAAGCTATTAAACATAGCTTTGGTCGTACCTCGAAGAACCTGAAAATATTTTACTAGCAGTTGCCCAACTGGTTCCTTTCCAGTGATTTGAAAGAAACCGGACCTCACTAACTCCGACGAGTGGTAGCAATATCTGGCCGTGTACAACCTATGCATTACATCAAGCTTCCAACTTGCTGAAGCATTATTGGATCTTTCCATCTCTTCCTTCTCCGCCCATCGGTAGAAGGGCACGTGTGTTGATGCTTAATTAAAAATGTAGCTAGAGGACAAAACTAACCGCTTTAAATTTCTCCATTTTAAACCTTTTGATAGTACTTTCTCAATTATTACTTACTCCTTGTGGACCAACCAATAATTCTTGGTCTTTCGATTTCTCGTAATCTTCTATACCAAGAAGCTTGCTTTGCTTGATGTCCCAAAGTCTTTCATACAACAAGCTTACTTAGCGTATCTCAAGCTTAATTAATTCTTGACAGATTCTCACCTAACATCAACGAATTCATCTACATGTAGAGGCAAAGAGATAAGTAGTCATTCATCAGAGAATTTCTTTACGAAAGACACATGATCTGATAAGTGTCATTTTTTGTAACCTTGCTCCGCTTAATAACAGACTCAAACATTCTGGTACCACTGTCTTGGTGCCTGCTTTAAGCGCGGTACAGTCTCTCTTCAGTTTACAAACATTAATCTATCTCCCCCTTTTTATGAAAACCCCTGGCTTGCTCCATTGTATATTTTCTTCTTTCCAAGATCTCCATGGTAGAAGGCAAGTCTTATACATCAGTATTGCTCGTATTTTCCAGATCAAAACTTGGCGGCCATTCCCGAGCACTGTCCGAGATGTCATTTCACAATCGGTGGAAAAGATTCATATCAAAAATCAGATACCCTTTTCTCGTTGATTGAATCCTTTTCACATACCAGGTCTAGCTTTGAATCGTGGCTTGAAGTAAGCCTGTGTTCGTTCCTGCTTGAATCCTGAACACCCTACTTTGTTTTCAAAACTTTTCTTGCCTTTGGGCAACTTCACCAGCTCAAATGTGTGTTTATCTCATGCAAGGAATTATCAATTCAATCTTGTGCAATGGCTTCAAATCAGCTATCCTTTATGTGTTCACTTTTTCCATTGCTTCTTTCTAAAACATTCAGTGTTACTCTCCCCGTCAGGGAATCATCTAATACATAATTCATTTGTCTGAATTATCTAGTATGATGGTGTTGACGTCTACTATGACTCTTCTTAATGTTTGAGAACTTCTGGTGCTGGTGATGCTGAAAGGCAACACCATCAAAATTCATCTTCTGTTCATTCTGATAGAGGAATTATGTGGAATTTCTTAACTCTGACTCTTGTTCTTGTGGAACATTTTTTCTTCATATCTCCAACTTGTCTATGTTACGTGTTGCTGGAGGAACTATATGTACATCTGTTGAATTCATTCTTCAAAGTCTATCGGCAGCTTGCTTCTAAGCTTATTCAACATCTTCAATATCTGATTCAAAACAATAACAGCATCTGCTACTTGCTTATCATCTTTCGGTTGGATCTAAAAATCTTATAGCCAAATTGATCTGATCTCATAGCCAATTGAATACACATTTGTCGATGTCTGTGCACATCAAAGCATTAGATCCTCTCTATCCTTAGGTAAATGCACAAATGCTTTTGCAACCAAGACGACTCCGCAAGTGATTCATTAGGCAAAACATCCTTTCTCGACCAATACTTCATCTGGCAGTATCATACTGAAGTAGGAACACAATGTGATACGATTTATTAAAGATGAACTGCGTGTAAAAGAGCTTGCACCCCATAATATTCTTAGGTACAACTTTAATGATGGTGAGAGTAAATAACATCTGACTCTCTGTTATTGCATCAAGTTCTGGTTCATCCACTCTCAGCCAAAACCATTCAAATATGCGGCGATCTTGGGATGGTGGTTTGATGTTCGAAATACCATCGCTTATTTGCAGAAAGCATCAAATGGCCCAGGTGTATTTCTCCAACCATTATCTGTTCTGATGCACTTCAGCTTTCTGCTCCTGTCTGATTCGTGCTCAACCCTAAAAGTTAAGATAATTGTTATAAAAAGCATTCTAAAAAACTTGGATCTTATAGCTTCAAAAATGTATCACCCAGGAGGTCATCTAGTAGAATATGCGTCATCGATAAATGTCGTAAGTAGTGATTTCCACCATATGACATCGTCAATGCGTTCCACATAGGATTCTGAATGTACCAGATACTAACACATTCTTTCATTCTGGAAAGGCCTTTGAGAAATCTTGAAAGGCTACTCTATTCTGCTTTCCTGCCATACAATCATAACATTTCTCTAATGGGACTTTATCCAATCCAGATAGCATATTGTTTTTAACCAGAGTTGTCAAAATTCCTTTCTCACTCATGTTGGCCTAGTTCGTTTATGCCCACAATTTCAACTGTTTCTTATCATCCTCTCCGCCTACATTTAAAGTATCTCGGAGAGCTTTGCATGCATCACGTTTACAGCTTTGGATCTTTCTTTCCATGGGCTAACCACCATGGCAACCTTTTGTGAGGTTTCCACTGACTATTTCTGAAGGGTGCTGCAGAAATTTTCATCATCAAGTCTGCCCCAAAACCGAGATTAAATTAGAATGCATGTCTTCGGTACAATTGCACGACATCTTTTTAAAATTAATCTCGAACCATTTTCTGTCTCCAGGCAGATGTCTCCTTACCGACGACTTTCAACAGTTTGCCGTCTGCTATCTTGACCACACCCAGATTCTTCTGGTTGTTAAGATAAAAAAATTCGCTTGCCGGGATGTTGCGTGGAAGTGTTAAGCCCCACTATCAATTACCCAAGACTGGTCTCCTGGGTTGCAAGATGGATAGTCGCGTCTGTCTTCAATGAACAGTTGGAACTCCAGCAGATGACATTAGCTTCATCATAAACAACTGCTTCTCTTTGTCTTTCTTTGCTTTGCCTTTGATCTTTCCTGATCACTTTTTAAACTTCCGGCAGTCCTTTTAATGTGCCCCTTTCTCCCCACAATGAGGGCACCACAAATATTGGCAATTTGTTGATTTACCCCTGCCTCTCTATCTCTTGTAGTTTGAACTTCTAGATTGGCTTCCTCCCTTGGACTGCGTTTATTTCTTTTAGCATCTCTGCTTAAAAAAAAATGTCTGACTGAGATGAAGAAGGGGATCTGTGCTTTACGTTCTTCATTTCTTCAATTCAAAACAGCATTTTAACCAAATTTTCCCAGCTACTCCACCTATGTGGTGTAGAGGTTTGTTATTGATAAATCTTTCAAAAGTTCTTGCCCAAGACTCTGGTAAACAGGGCAAAGCACCATAATGGCCGGAGGATTATATCAAATTTTAATGCCCATATTTGACGGTGGTGAATAGTCACCTGCATCTCACTCAAGTGATCTGCTAACAGAAGTACCTTCTTGGTATTTTTGAAATTCATCAGCTTCAGTCAAATTTAAAATAAGCGTTGTTGCCGGTTGTTGCCGGATTTTGAGGCATATAATTCTTCAAGCTTGTCCCATAATGTTCTGGCGTGAGTCTCGTTACAGATGTGGTTGTACACATTATCATCGACAAATTGTCGAATATAACCACAGACTTGTTCATGCTCGAAAGCCCATTCTTCATCAGTCTTGTCTTCCGGTTTGCTTGAACCAAACACAGGCAGATGCATTTTTGTTACCATAAGGAGATTTCTCATTTTATTTTTCCATATATGGTAATTTGCGCCATGCGCCATTTAGACTGATCATTTTGCTTGTTTTAGCTTCCATGACTTTTGAGTGAATAGTAACCGTATATATGAATAGTAACAGTATACAAGAATAGTGACGGCTGGGCTTAACAGTGACGGCTCAGCAACCGTAACGTCAATAGTAACTATTCACCATCAACCGCTATCTGACCGGCTGAACCAACTAAGTCGATTGTGTGGGATAAGTGGTATCATAGCCTGGTTCAGCCGGTCAGATAGTGGTACCGGATCCGTGGATATATTTTGAAAATAAATATACCACGAAGACGAGAAAATTACGACGAGTCCGTTGGTCGGACTCGTCGTAATTTTCTCGTCTTCGCTGGATATATTTATTTCAAAAATATATCCACGGATCCGCGGTACCGCTATCTGATCGGCTTGGAACCAGGCTCTGATACCCACTTGTTTAGTAAATAAGCTCTTGAATACCCAACTGTTTAGTAATAAAGCTCTGATACCCACTTGTTAGGATACCGGCAATAAAAATACGAGAAGTAAATACCCGGCAGCGGAAAAATAAAATGCGGACACAGGAAATTTACGTGGCTTCACCCTCAACTGTTTAGGGGGCTTACGTCCACGGGACCAACTCCGAATAATTCGGACCAACTCCGAATATTTCTTCCACTATTAAAAATAGTAGGCTTACAAAGAGAGTAATACAAAATAGTGGCACTCACAAGTGTTTCTCAAAAACACCCTAATAATCTTCACTATTTTCTAAACCCTTAGTTGTAAGAACCCTTTCTTAAAACTCATAAAAACTCTCTATTTTTCTCACTTATTCTTTCGTTGCTCTTGTTGGTGCATCTGTGCTGAATGCTCCTGCCTCTATTTATAGGCAAAGATTTGAGAGAGCCGTGCATTGCTCATGCACGGCTCTTCATTATTTTCAACTGGCATGCTAGGCATTGCCAACCATTCAATGGTTGGTTGCCAACCCTTTGGATTTTTTTTTTTTTTTTTTCATAATTGGTGTGGGTCCCACTTGAGTGGCACACCACCACCAACAATATTTGAATTTTTAATTAATCTCTAACCCTCATATTTCATTCTCGTGTTAAAGCAAAAAAAACCCTACATAAACTAAATAAAAAAATAAAACTAACTGCCAGAAAATTAAATTTTTTTTTTTTTTTTTTCATAATTGTGTGGGTCCCACTTGAGTGGGCACACCACCACCAACAATATGAATTTTAATTATCTCTAACCTCATATCATCTCGTGTTAAAGCAAAAAAACCCTACATAAACTAAATAAAAAATAAACTAACTGCAGAAAATTAAAGAAACAAAGAATTCGTTGAAATGAAGGCAAGGCAAGGCAAATGGAAAAAAACAGAGAGACTGAAAATCCCGTTTGAAAGTGCAGAATCAGTTTTAATTCCATACCGATATAATATAAAATAAGATTGAGAATCCATATAAAAAGTAGAAAAGCACAAAAGCAAAAGAAAATTTTTCTGATTTTTAAGCCAATCTTAAAGAGCGATTGCTATCTAATAATATAAAAAGAGAAGCTGAGTATAGAGAGGAGACAAGGGCACAGTAGCAACTCTAAGCTATGTTTTTGGTAAACGTCATTGTTAATAAATTATTATGCAATTTCTTGATAAAAAATCAGTTTTTGGATTTTTCCTTCAAAGCAAAACTACCATAGATCAATGATCACTTGAGAGAGAGGAACAAGATGGAGACGTTGCAAAGAAGTTGGGATACGAAGTGGGGTTTTGCAAAAGGGCAAAAATAGGAATTCAATACCATGTTTAAGTGGGATCCATGTGTCATGCTAATATGGACCTCACTTCAGTTATGCCACATTTAGCTGCCGGCGATGAAAAATTAGGTGACACGTGTCTACAATTATTTTTCCAGTGAGACTTGTCAGCGTTATACAATTAATTGCTTTTTTTTTGTTTAAATTTAGACACTCAATTAACGAAGTTTTTGGTTCCGACGCTAAAATAGAATATTTTGAAAATTGAGACTCTAACTTTTTCATTATCCTGATGTTATATTTATTTAATTTGGGTAAATTCAACTTTTTGTATTTCAGCTTTACTAAATCAAATTCGCAAAGTGCTGGAACAGTAGCAGGAATTGTCGATTACTGGAACCGTGCCTAAACTGGCTGGAATTGGAACCAGCAGTTTAATGGCCGGTTCAAGTTCCAGCTCTGGAAATAGAACATGCCTAGTTACACTTACAAGTGCACCAAAACCAGTAGCTTATCACTATCACCATGAAGTCTTATGGGTACTGCAAGAATTGCATTTTCAGCTTTATACGACCAAAGGCTGATGTAAAACATAAGACTATTTATTTGTACACAGGAACAAGAAAAAAAGAAAACCCATCATATTTATTTAGGTTCTTTATATAAGATTTACGCTTATTCATTAACCTTACTTTTGCCAAAATCTGCGGCAGCTTGGGCTGCCCGTGTCAGTACATCTGAAACCCACAGAGCTCCCTTGCCAAAGTAACTGCTATTGACTACAGCATTTGCAGCTGCAGCTGCGGCCTTTCCGGTATATGTAGCTGCAACTACAGCTGCTGTGCCGGTAACTAATATAGCCGAAGCAGTGATATCTGATACATGGAGCTTCTCGTCCACTGATTTCACTGTTTCCATGCTTGATTGTATCTTATCTGTGAGCCCAATTCTATTGCTAAGCTCAGCAACTTTGGCTGTTGCCGTGGCAGAGACTTTAAAAGATTCATCAAAAGCTTTGGCCTTGATTAATGCATCTTTTCCTAAAATGTATCCCTTCGATAGCATTGTTTTGACAACATCTTGAGCCACAGTCAATGCTTCTCCAGGCCTAGAGACGCACTGGCTCATATGAATGTCCTGGTAAGATTCTTTTGGTGTTAGTTCAAAGGAACAGCTCAAGAGCCTGTAGTATAGATAAATTCTTTAAAATTTCATGTTTTCATGTTTGGTATAAATGAAAATACTTACTTTTCTCTTATTAATTTTATGACACAACATATAGTTGAACCGAATTCTATCATTTATTAAAATTCATTCACTAGAGTTTTAAGCAGAATCATGGAACTACTGAAATAAGGTTCACTTGCAAAGTAAATTAATAATTGACGGCATTCCATCATTTGTAATAGATATTGTGTTTTGGATGTATGATTTTGTTTTAAGAACCATCAATTCCAACTAATGTATCATAATAACAAGGAAAAATTCTTGCTGAAATCAAAAGTTGGCTAGTCTGGGAATTGCATAAACTTACCAAATAAATGGGACATGGAAAAGAAGATCTGACACAAAGATTCTATTAAAAAATATTGATTCATACCGTTGAGCCAATGTTGTCTTCGACTTTCCATGAAGGACTATTCCAAGGATATGATTCTTCCATATAAGTTCCCCAGCGTGCCACACATACACGTTGATCCACAATTTTAGCTCCCTAAAATATCAAAATCAGCCCAAAATGGCTAATCAATCATTAAGCTTTACAGTTCATGCAACAATGTTAATTGAAAAAATCTGGCCAAATGCATAAATTCATCCTTGTTTTTTTCACATAAAATATCTTGTAACGCTCTGAACTTTTATTTTGAGCCATTGAACACTTTAATTAATAAAATCACACCTATTAAACACTTCAACTTATAAACTTTTTCTATTGAATATTCCAACTTGTAACATCAGATGGAGTAAACAGTCATTTGATAGTTAAAAAATATGAAAACTATGGTTTCAAAAGTTAGTAGTGAAATAATGACTGTGAAAATGGAAATAACAAGTTTCTGCACTTCTTTTTTGTGCGCGTGAAAAACTATTTTCAATCTCAGTTTCTTGAACAAGTTGAGTGATTAAATTTAAAAGAAATATTTTAAATCTAATTTAAATTATTAATAAGGTAAGTACAACTAGATTATCCTACGTTTACACAAAGTCAAAATCAAGTAATTGTGTATATAAACTCAATTGCGCCAATTCTATAACTAACAACAGCTAACAATATTGAAAATGCAGAATAAGCGCATTTTGATGCAAACGACATGTGCTACTGTCAATTATTGAAAAACAAGATGAACATTATAGATTCTGGAAGCCAAAAGACTGGAATAATTTCTTAAACAGATTAGTTGCACAAATTTCTGATAAACTTACACTGAGTAGGATGGCAGTTTCAAGAGCATAGGCGCCTTTAAATGTCACATATGCAGTGCAAGAATCCTCACCGGATCTGTTTTCATATAAAAGCACCCATTGAGTATAATATATGACATAATCCTCGTAAAATAGCAATTTAGAATTGGCAATTCAGAAGTCATGCTCAAATCCATAGCAAGTCTTCTACAATCAAAAACTGGTAGACAAAAGTATAGAGCTCTAAATGTGAGGTAAATAAAAGGATATGCATACAGTACATGGCCTATGAAGAAGTTATATGAATTACATTAGTTAGATGGCCATGTCCCTATATTTATTTCCAGGAAACGAAAGCAAAAATTGTTGGAATACTCTAATAACAAAATTGTTAAATTACTAGCAATATCATTGGGCCCCAAGCATGTCTATAATAACCTTTAGATTCCATTATAATTTGAAAAGCATAAACAGTTCTAACAAAAAGTGAAAAGCATAAAGACCAAACAATAGAGTCATAAATAGACATATGTTTTGCTGTTGACCTTTTACAGAAGAAATGTTTATTAATTATCGGTTCATCGATCATATAACGGTCTTTAACTCCAGGCATCATCATAATCACACCAATTCCCAAGATAGGTAGATATCTATACATTACCTGATGATTTCAACATGCTCAATGACACCACAGTGAGCAAAAAACTCATAAACATCTTTGACTGTTGCTTTAGGAGATAAGCATGTAACTTCCGCAGTATATCCACCCGGATACATCAGGGTAAAGTTTTAGCTCAATGCGAATGAAACTGGCTGGAGATCTATAAATAAATTGCAGCAAGCTGTTGTAAAAATGGTAGCTTTTGCTTCTAGAAGTTACAATTGCTTAGATCAATATTTATAAAGATAATATTATTGCAATCCATTTTGTTTTGCAGAAATGACCATATTTTTGGAGAACAGTTGAGATAAGAGAAAGTTCAGAATGTGACAATACAATATATTATCAACTAGATGTAGCTTCTGCCCTATATAATAATCTTGAGGTCCATAATCCTTAGTGGTCCCTTTCTTTACTTTCCTAATTCATTCCTAAATATTCCCATTCCAACAATATTACAGCTTAGACTTATTCATTAACATTCTGATCTAAATCACTTTGAATCTGCTAATGCATCTGCCTAACGATATGTAACAACACAATCAAATAGCCCGACAAGATCCTAAGCAATACTTACGCTACCCAATGCATTACATACTCTTTTGGTTGCATTATACATGAATGAGCAAAAAATCAAAATCCACTCAATTCGGACAACGATAAATTCCTTTTTTCGATGAATATATTTACCTTAAAAAACTTTTTTTTTTTTAATTGTCGCCCCTATAAATTTCAAACAACTACAAGATGTACTGTATATGAATCATGTAAAGCTTAAAGTTCAGCTTGTATTCTAGGTCTTCTTGCTCAAGTCAAACAATGCAAAAAAGATTGAACTTTAAGTAAGTGCAGGACTGCAGACTCAGATTAAAGATTTCAACAGAATCTCAAAGCAATATTTTATACAAAGGTAATAAAAAGCAAAATGATTCTCAAGATCAATGCAACTACTAATTGGAAAAAAAAAAAAAAAAAAAAAAAAAAAAAAGTATCTGTATATGAATCCATGTAAAGGCTTAAAGTCGAGCTTGTATTTCTAGGTCTTCTTGCTCAAGTCAACAATGCAAAAAAGATTGAACTTTAAGTAAGTCAGTACTTGCCAGTACTCAGATTAGGAAGATTTTCAACAGAATCTCAAAGCAATATTTTTATAACAAAGGTAATAAAAAGCAAAAATGATTCTCAAGATCAATCGCAAACTACTTAATTGGAAAAAAAAAAAAAAAAAAAAAAAAAAAAAAAAGTGGGGAGGAAAAAAAAAAAAAAAAAAAAAAAAAAAAAAAAGGTGGGGAGGGAAAAAATCCCCAAAATTATCTCAAAAGGAATTTAATTATATAACCAACGAATATAAAATTTAATAGCAGGAACAGAAATCCCAGAGAGAAAATAAATAAATAAAAATCAAATATGCATTGCGATCAATACCGTTAGAAGCCATAAGTAGAGAAATGGCAAAAATCAATTGAAATCTGAAATTTTTCACACTCAATTGATAAAAAGTCATCAAATAATAACAAATTAACACTCTTCAATGGATCAGTAAATGGGTTTGAAAATTATAGAATTAACTGGGAAAAAAAATTAGAATATAACAGAGCTGAGATTATGTATGGTACCTGTAGCTGATCAGAGACCAGAGATTAAGCCCATAGATAAAGAAAGATAAGAGTTAGATGAAGAGATGGAGAAAGAAGTATGCGAACGCCAACTTCAAAATTGCTGCTCATGAATTAAGATGACTTGCTGTTAATCGCACCCGCAGTTGGCACGCGTGTAATCACTTCAGAAAGTTTCAAATTGAAACTTGGGGGTGAGCACAGAACTACCAGGCTACTAGACACAGATCAGTCTTTGAAAAATTGTCAGTTTTAATAGAGAAAATCATTTTTTGTTTGGTTTGATTTTTACTAAAATGTTACCGAGTATTTAAGTAACAATAATTTCCCTCTTCTAAAAAGAAGTAAAAAACATAAATTCACCACTTCCTAATTCTTTTTTGGAGAGCGTGTAATTCAACACTAGAGAGGCGCGTTGAGACCATACCATTGTTGTTTGTTGGATTGCCCTTGTCACACTGTTGGCGGGGAAACTTGTGTGGGCCTCCACAATAACCGTCTTGCTGTCGCTGCTTGTACCGAATGTGTGAATCAAAAACCGCACCATAATAACTCCAATTTGAAGTAGGGATAATTATAATTTTAGAGTTTAAATTTTTAGAAATTCTCTATTTTGATGTTTGAGTGGAAAATTTTTATAACCAATTGTTTGCACCATATAAAAATTTTCAATTGAGTGTTTAATATTTATGTAATTAGCTCGAAACCAGATTAGAAAGGCATGGATCCACATAACAGAACCGAAGAAAATTACTTAAACTAGCGCTTCAATAAAAAATACTAATTTAGTTAATATCACGTGATTCTAACATAACCATCTTAACAAAAGTTCCTTTTTTGCAAGATATATATTATTATGGTTATTATTTAGAATCTTTATTTCATAATATCATTTTTTTTTTTCTCTTGTAGAGTTATATGTAAGTTCATTCTTTTCCATTGTAAGTGAATTTATTTTGGTGTCAGTTTTGCTTGGCAATACTTGAGTATATTTTTTATTTTCTGTTGTTTTTATTTATCTCTTTAGTTTCTCTGATTGAGGTTGTCCATAACTAAATTGATTAATACCCGTTAAATTATTGTTTCTTATTAGTGTGTCTTTATATATATATCTTCTAAAATATGTACTCAAAAACTCAATGGAAATACACGAAATTGGTGAACGAAAGGAAGAAACTAAAGCATGTGCTCACAAAATAATGATTTATTTTCTTTATTTTTATACTGTCATGGTATTGTGAATGATTTTGATAATTTTTAACATTCTTTATCACTCTTACATAATTATTTATTTCTTTATTTATTTTTAAAACTAATTATTTATTTAGCATTTATAAGAATTTAATTACTCATCTATAAGTCATTATAAATTATACTTATAATTTATTTTAACATCATAAATTAAGAATCAATTATTATTTGATAGAATTATAGCTATATATTTATATTCGGCATATGCATAATAGTTTTTTTGAATGAAATGTTTTATCCATATCTATCTACATTCTTATATATATGTTCCGTAGATAAATATAAATAATTAGGTATTTTTTGAAATAAAAATTTAATAGTAATTAGTAGATATATGTAGATAATTATTTAAAAAATTATATATTTTCTTAACCAAAGTTTATGTATTTATATGTATCAAATCATACATATATATGTCACGACCCGATTCCATGGGCCGGACCGGCACTAGGGCCCAGGTAAGCTTAAGGCCCCCGAGGCCCATAGTCAGCCTGAAACACTAGAATCCAATATCTCGGTATAAATTTCAACATTCAGCCCATATGATTATGAAAAATATACCTCAATATTTTATTATTTCTCGGCCCAATTATCTCGGTTATAAAATTTCAACATTCAGCCATATTGTATTTATTGAAATATACCTCAATATTTTATATTTCTCGGGCCCAAGTTTATTCTCCTACAGCATTCCAAAGTTCGGGGCCCAATTACAATTACATTTTCACATTTCTAAATATGGGCTTACAGGATTAATTTGTCTTATGTTAATACACAACTTAAATTATATTAAATCTTTACAACTGCGGAGTCCACTAACTGTTTGGCTATTAACATGGGCTTTTTATTGCCGATAAATTACATAAAGTTAAAAATAATTTATTGGCACTTAGAAAATTTCTCTTGGGCCTGCGCGAAGAAACATAGCCTTAGGTTTCGGATTTAAAGATAAAACTTACTTCCCTGAAAATTCAAAATAAGCACTGTGAGTCTAAGGGTGGGTTTTAATTATATTTATTGCACAACGATCACGCCGTTCACACCAAAATATGTCTCAACATTTCAATCCAAGTCATTCCGCTACTTTCAGTTCATGGCTTTCCTTATACACGCAAGCCAGTCACACACCAAAATTGGCCAGGGACATTACCAGCACTCACACGTAAATGTTCACCTTCAAGTAATCCAAACACAGTGGTTAATTAGTCAGTGGCCACCACCTTGAAACCCCAACGAGCCGTTCCTATTCACACATGGCTCGCCCTCTCGTTTCATGCTCGCAGGGGAAGCCGATTCCCATACGGCCAACTGGTCTTTTAATCCACTGACTAGGTCTCTCATTGTATTTTTCGGTCTTCATCGTCTCTTTCCACACAGGGGAGGCAACCCGGTGGTCCTCGTCCAATCTAGATCTTTCAAGTGCTCACACAGGATAGGTCCCACCCTGCGGGGCTACAATCAAATCAGATTATCAGGTTGCCGCAACAACAGAAGCCATTCCTTGTGAATCCCCATATTTAATCTATATTTCATTTCAGGCACAAGGGGCGCCGATCTTCCCATCCCCGGCCGACGAGTCATTGTATCATATTTCGTATTCAGGATTTCCATATTCACAGGACCGGTCTCACAAACCCATGGTGGTCCACTTTCATCCCAATTTCACCACAAAACAAGCTATTAGCATTTCAGCAACACATTAATCAACATTTTGCAATTAATTGCAGACATATTGATCAGTTGAACATCTAATGCAATGCAAAATTAGACACCATTCTCAAATGCAATTAAATAATTAAATAAATAATATTAGCAATAAACAACACCGATAAAATAAATCATAATAATAATAATAACAAACAATGATAATGAAAATAAATAAATAATTGAATAATTAAATGAATAATAATGATAATGATAAAGTAATTAAAGCACTTTATTTATGATGTATCAAATTATAGAAATTATCTAAATAAGCTTATTTATTATGTTATTAATTAAAATTAGTCTAGGTTCTATGAAATTTCAGCAGAACCTCCCCTAAAAATAGGACTACCTTCCTACCTGTTTAAATATCACAATAATATTATATATTTATCGATCAATGCACGCAGCCCATCCGTCGGGCAATTCACAACAACTCAACCCGTCCGCCATAACCTTATTTTTCAATCATTAGATCAATCAATTCAGACACAAAAATTTACAAAACTAGTTCTATATATCCATATAAGATTATTATTAAGTTCATTTAGTTAACGTAGTTATTAGCTTCACTTGGTAACTAATTTTGTTTAAGCAGCTAAAAAACATATTTTACAATAATAATTTATAACTTACTACTTATAAAGATTCGGTTTTATATTTCATATCCAAAATGGCTAGGCCTCCCCATTATTCTTATTAATCAAAATTTTCGAATCTAACCTGATTAACCAATTTAAAATCCGGCCTTCTTTTTCTTATGGCAATCGGCTAGTTTTAAACTAATGATTATCTATTAACTAATTTAACTAATTCTGTTTATTTTCCTCCTTCATTCACCCTAACTTATTAATGATAATCATGTAATTTATTGTAATGTTCCAAAATCAATTTGCAACACATTTATATCAGTTAATTAATTTTCGTAGCAAGGATATTATTTGCTTTCTCAACTTATTCAAATTAATTAGTTTTTAAATTTGGAGTTTTATACAAAAATTTGGAAAAAAGTTAGGCCATTAGACGCTGACCGTTTGAGAATCGGGACCTCAATTTCCCATGGTCCACGCGCAAGAGGACATTTCATTCTTGCTCTTGGGCCTCGCCGGACAGTGTCCGCCGCAGGTCACTGGCAAACCGGCCGCCGCCGGCCCGCCGTATGCACGGTGGCCGGAATCGGCAAATTGCCCAGGGAAATTGCTGCAGGTTACCACCAAACCGACTCCAATTTTTGTGAGGAAGTTCCAAATTCGCTATACGCTTTATGAACTAGCGGATCGTTTGGCCGGAAGCAAGGCCGACAGTTTCCTCCACGCCCG